TGGTGCAGCTCAGCTCTATTTAAACAATAAAATCTGTTTCAAGCCATTAGTCATGAGTAGGTGTCTGTAATGAGAGCACAAAAGCCAACATCCTGCCTCATTTGCAAAGATGCCCTGACTTTAAATTAAGGCCTTGCCTTGGTAATCCCTTTGCTTGAGTTTCACATTCCCACTACTGTGTGCAACAGGGTAGTAGCAGGCTTGAGGCTTTCTACCCCAAAGCTCACTGCATTTCAGAAGTGAAGTAGCCAAAACTATTTTAAAGTATTTCTCAAGCCCTCACAACACATTATACTAGTATAAGAGATTAGGGGGATTTATTGTAGTAGTACCTAGCACTGATGGTATTCATCATTTTAGAAATATCAAATGTGCACATGCCAAGAGCCTTTTAACTCTTAACAGCACTCCCAGCAGTGCTAAAAAAAGACAAAGCATTTGGTATCTGCCAGTAGTTTTGCTGTTAGTTATGGAAACCAGAACAAGTTGAATAAACCGTGACATCAATGGCTCAGAAATAAAACACTTGAGGATATCCAACTACACCCTTTCGTGTCTTCCTGTGCAAGTCCCTCATGGACAGTCCCTGAGCTGCACTTCAGCTTAGTCCCTCGAAGCCCCACCAGGTAACAGAAGGCCATGAGGATGTGAGTGGCATGGAGGACCATTCAACAGTTGAAGTATGACCAATGAAAGGGAAACGGCTTTGTGAGATTGCCTAGCCCATACGGATTGCAGCTACTGGCAATGCTGGGCTAACGATTGGACTTGATGATTTTAAAGGTCTTTTCTGACCTAAAACAATTCTATGATTCTACTTGAGTTATAAAGGTGTTACAGTGTGAAACAACCTAAGTATTACATTCATTTGTCACAATTTTAAAAGTGATACAGTTGTCCTGTTTTTCCATCACAATCTGTTCTGGCTCCCAGCACTTTCCATCTTCAATTATCAGACACAAAACAGGTGTTCACAGCAGTCTCTCACAGTGAACTTTACCACTGTTTTGGAAGTGGCATAATGTCCCCACTGCAGCTGGGAAGAAAGAGGGGCTTCTATTAGAAAAAGTACATAAATGTTACTGACTAGCAAGTATCATCAGTCCCACATGTCTGCCATCTCAATTTTAAGACCCTTAGAGAGGAAACCATTGAGAGAAAAAGTGCTGACAAGAAAATGAGACCTTAGTGAGCTATTTTCTAACTGGTACAACACTTGCTTGGTATGCAAGGCACCACAAAACATTCCTGCTCAGAGGAGATTTCACCAAAACTACTGGGTTCCTCTCACTTTACCCTCTCTTGAAAACTGTACTACATTGACATCAGGCTGAGAGCTGCCCTCTTACAAACAGTTGCTCTTTCACATCCAGAAAAGGCAGATTTGAGACCCCGTCGAGATCATTCATGCTATGTTTTCATCCTTTCTGTTTGTCTGCATTTGCCCTCTCATGTTGCTGTTTCCTCACTGCTTTGACCCCGTTCTCTACAACTGCTTCTGCTAGAAAACATGTTGGGAGATTCTCAGATCAGATATGGCACAGAGAAAGTCTACTGCCTCCATGCATTAAGTAGATGGTAGTCCAGTCATCTAGAAAGTACAGATAAGTCCATGAATTCATTTCATAAAAGGTTATTTTGCCCTTTGATACAAGAAAGGACCAAAATCTCTTTGAAGACATGGTAATAATCACTTTCATGGAAGAGCCAAAACTACACTGGCAAATGTAATGGCCAAGCCTACCTTTTTGACTATGCAACATCTTTCAACCCCTTAAAGGATTGTGCAGGCAGAAGCCAAATGGGTTGAGAAGGAGAATACCACAAAACCACAAATTAACACTTAAGTCAGGTTTAACAAATTAGCAAGTGAGGGAAGATGCCAATAGCTGGCTAAGACATTCCCTGTTTCACGGTGAGGAACTACAGCAAGGTTTGTAAAACAGCTAATGACTAGGAAGGATTCTGAGTTTGCCTTGGCAAGTAGATGCTTTGCAGAACTGCATTGACAAGGATGCCATGGTGTTGATAGATTGAAATGGCTCATCATCAAATCCCTGGCGTTTGCTTGCCTCTGGGAATCTCCCACTCTTCACTCATGAGAACATGAAACAAAAAAAGTTCCTTCCCAGTATTTCTGATCTGAATATTGGATAAACCCCACAACAGCCAGCAAAGCAGTACCATGAAGTCTTACAAATATACCTGTCTAGAGCAGAGATCTGTATATTCAAACTATGTTCCTGGAGATCTTTAGGGCTGAGGATGTCCAGTGGTATTAACAGTCTATGCTTAAAACAATCCCATGTCCATCATTTTCAAGGGCCTACAAATCCCCTCAGCATGTAATACTGTTAAAATTAATGCTTGTAAATAAAAAAAGGAGAAAGGACTGAAATTACAGACTTAGAATTAGTGATTAACTTAGAATTAGTGATTAACAAGGTAATAAAGGCTTCAGTAGGATTAGGAAAAGAAAAAGACAGAGCAAAATCTCTTTCAGCTGATTACTTAGCTTTAAGAATATTAAAAATACAAAAATAAATAAAAACATAATCTAACTCACATGAACAGGTTGTCAGAACTCGGGTTCAAGCGAATCGGACACAAATCAGAACAGCTGGAAATTCCCCTTTAGACAGAGCTATGTCAAAGCCATGCCTGCCTGATTAACACGATATTCTCAGATACTGCAGAGGAGTATAAGCAGCTGTATGAGAATCTGGCCAAAGACTAGCATCTGAGAAGGAAATCCTCATTAAAAAAAAAGTTTGATCTTTAAAACTGTAAAAACAAATGTTTCCTATAGAGAAATACCAGTCTCCAGAAACTATTGGAATAACTCAAAGGAAAGAATAACCAGTTCCAAATGTAGTATCAATGTGTGGACACACAAGCTAAATGTCATCATTAAATATTTCAATGTGGTACACTTCAAAAAACAGGGCTATAATGGATGGTGGATTCTGTGCAGAAAATATTTATGGAGAGCAGAGAGATGGTGAATTAAGTGAATACACGAGTAGAAGCAAAGGATACAGCTGGTAGGAAAAACAACAAAGGAAAGAGACAGCAGCAGCCAAAAGGCAAGCTTGATCCCCTCCAAATTCCCCTCCCCATACAATGAACAGCTAACACAACGAAAACATCAAATTCTGTTGCTCCACAAAAGCCAAACCCTGGGCTTGATCTGGGCCATCTACCATTAACATAACATGTGGGACGGGTACTGACAGAGGGGAAACCAGAGTCCAGCACACAGATCTGAGCTCACTGGCATAATTAAAAGAGGAGGCAAGAAGTCTCCATCCCTCTTCCCCTTGTGCAGTGAATTGCAGAGCACTGATTAAACACCCTCACTGAGACCACACAGTCCCTCACCACAGCGACATCTCCTTATTTCTCTGCAGTTCACCAGGGCCTATTATTGCTTTACTTTGTTTGATGTTCTCCCTATGTTGAGAGAAAGCACGGAGGGAGAAAAGAAAAAAGACAAATCTGTCTGTCTTTCAACTTCCTAATCATCTTCCTCAAAATGCTCTACGCATCAGCACTGATTTCATTATCTGCCTGCTGCTAGAGATTTTATTTAAAGAATAACACACAAGGAAGAAAGGATTTAACCTGACCTCCCTGAACTGCTGGGGGATGAATACTACACAGAGCTGACAGTGAAAAGCTCATTTCCTTTCTCAGACTAACTCAAAGACTATGCAAAATCCCCCTCTATCCAAGCCTCCAGTTTTAAATTGGGCTATCAAAGGTTTTTTTTTTTAGGGGCCTGGGTTGATGCAATCAGTGTATCCTCAATGAATGAGGATTGATAACATGAACCATCACAAAGCATAGCTGTGGATACAGTGACTCTCAGAGGCAGAACAATGAGGAAAATTGAGCAAATTAAAACCAGTGTTCTTCTACACAGCTATACCAAGAAGACATTAAAAAGCAGTAAGGTCCACCTTTTTTCCTGCACTGCACCAGGACAGCATTCAGCCTGAGTCTTTGGGGTGTTGCATACTACAGATCAAGTAAGTTAATAAATGAAAAGGTTAGTGGGAATAATCAAGAAATAGTAAAAGTATCATGGACAGAAAGAAAAATTAATTGCAGAGCAGGTTACAGTCAAGATCTTTTAACAAGCACAAGCATGGGATCCACTAGAAGGAGCAATCCAAGGTGACTCCAATGAGGTCTGTCCTAGACTATATACACAGTTTCTTCTCCAGAAAGTCCAGAAGTGTTGACGCAGCTGCATCTGGAATGATTCCCCCAGCTCACATGGCAGCTCTGCATTTTGTCCACCACCTGCTCCTGCAGAGTCATTTACCTCTTCTTGATTAATGCATAATCCCAATATTTTATTTTCAGAAATAGGCCAGCTCTTCCCTTCCTGAGACCATACACAGTAGCCTATTTTCAAAAAGCTACATTTACACATTAATGCAATACAAGCAGGACACTAAGACACCAAACCAGGCCAAATTCAGGAAAGGAAACCTAACCCTACCACCCTTTTATGAAAAACCTTCTATTTTCAAAATCATAAACCAACTGAACACAATTATCCTAGAAAATTTCCATCAACTGTTGCCAGAGTTCCTTGATATCACCAAGAAAAAAAAAAAAAAGAAAAATCAAGCTATGCCCAACAGTTCCCCAATGACTAAATTTGCTGCTAAAAATTTCCTGTCCCATTCTAAATGCCAGCATCCTCAGTCTCCAACCACACTTGCTGTCTGTCAGTGCTGCATATTTCATACCCATAGTTCATACCCATCCTTCTGCATTTGCAGGACCAAAATCTCTGCATCTGATGGTAAAACTGGCTAAAGCAAGCCTTGCTTTTCTTTCACCCACATCTGAACAAGGAACATGAGAGTTCCACTTCCACCCCTCATACTGCTGCCACATCATCAATCCCAGCGAGCACAAGGTGCTCCTAAACACTCATATTCCAGAGGTCAACATGAAAAAAGGTCATCACACGCCTGGCTTACCTGATCCTCGGAGAGCTGTGATATGTGATTCACTGCAGCATAAGACTCGATCTTCGGGTTGAAGTGATTGATGATGGCTCTGAAACAAAGGAGGGAAATTTTCAGAGGTCTCAGGAACAGCTTAGGGATGCAGCAGAAATTCCCTGCCAGTCTGAGTAAGCCCATGTGGAACCATGGTCCTGCAAGAAGTGGTTCCTCTCTCACTATACAGAGTTGCCTGCTCTGCTGAAGGCACGCTCCCTGCTGAGGCCAATGCAGATTCAGACACAGGCTGGCTGGAAATCACAAGCACAGACACTGCCCTACACATGGGTGCATTTGTCCCAGCAGATGCTGGACTGTCCTTGCTGCTCTGAAAGAGAGAATTGCTGCCTAGCTGGGAACAGGCTGCAAATTGTCCCATGTTCCAATGGAGAGACAGCAAACACGGCTATCACTGCCCCATCCTGCTCAGAAACTGCAGCTCCTCATCTCTTCCAAAGTCAGTACTGCTTGACATTTTGCTCTATGGAACTTTAGTTGCCTGATATGATAAAGCTGATGGTTTATTGCTTTGGATTTCCACTATGTTTAAAATGCTGTACCTGGCCCTTACTTGCAGTCATCCATCACTAGAGCCACTATACTTGGACTTCTTACCATAACGACTTTAGTCCTCAGCCCCAGTTTAGATTGTTAGAGATAACTTATGTCAGTATTGCAAACGCGGCAGCAAACACTGGTCACTTCTGCTTCTTTGCCTCATTTCTCTCAGTACCTGCACCAACATACTCCTCTTCCCTTCTAGGTAGATCTAGAGGCAGATGTGAGAAATGTAAAACTGAAAGTAAGTAACAATTGAGGAAAAAATTCCAGCTGCAGTTTGGTGGTTATATCCTCAGTCTCCCCTCTACCTGCCAGGTGCAGCTGAGAAGACAAATGGCAAGACAGAAAAGACTCCTGGATTAGTGTTTGCAACTGCTCTAGTTGGGATATTACTCATGAGACCCACTGCTGAGGTAAATGCTCATCATGGGAACAGGCCATGTCAGTGCTCGGCACAGATGTGTGCTGACTGTGCCTGGAGAACACTTGCTCAGCCAGATTACACTGCAGCAGCAGTCAGGGCTTCCACTCTCATATTCATCAGCACGAAAATTCACTCCAGCTCTCTCTCTTTTATACTCTAATGGATTCCCTCCTCCCCACACCTCCCCCTGCAGAAGGGCTTTCAGCTGCTGTCTCCAGACCTCATCACAGCTAAGAGCTTGTGCACCAGTCTGCGAATAAGTGATATTCAGAGGTGCTAATCAGAGCCCATGGATAGAAAACCTGCCTGGAAGCATCCTTACTTCTTTAAGTACACAAATAAACAGTGTGGAAGGGGTGGAAAGTGGCAGCAAAAAATAAAAAAACACAAACAAACAAACAAAAAAACAAAACCAAACAAACACAAAAAAACCCACTAACCCTCCCCTCCCCCAAACAGAATTTGCAGATCACAGACTTATAGGGTGGTTTAAGTTATAGAGGGACCTTTAAAGGCCACCTAGTCCAACACCCCTACAACAAGCAGAGACATCTTCAAAAATATCAGATTGATCAGGGCACTGTTCAACCTGGCCTTAAACATCTCCAGGGATGGTGCACACACCACCTCTCTAGGCAACCTGTTGCAAAGCCTCACCACCCTCATTGTTTAAAACTTCTTCCTCATATATATAATCTAAATCAACCCTGTTAGCTTCAAACCATCATCCCTTGTCCTGTCACAAGAGGCTCTGCTAAAAACTTTTCCCTCAGCTTTCTTAACTTTCTTTAAGTACTGAAGGGCTTTAAGTACTTAGTACTTTAAGTACTAAGGTCTCCCCAGAGCTTACTCTTCTCCAGCTGAACGACTCCAGCACTCCCAACCTGTCTTCAGAGGAGACGTGTTCATCCCTCTGATCACTTTCATGGCTTCCCCTGCACTTGCTCCAACAAGTCCATGTCCTTCTTGTGCTGAGGACCCCAAAGCTGGACACAACATTCCAGGTGGGACCTCACGAGAGTGGAGCAGAGGGGCAGAATCACCTCCCTCGACCTGTTGGTAGATTAACTAAACATTCCCAGCCACACACCTTTCCAACACACCAGGTGCAGTCCTTGCACAGGGCCACTCCAGCAGCTTCTCCTATAGCATCAGTACACACTTAGCACAGAGAGGCTTCTGCAATCTCACCAACCTTGCCAGTTACAGCCATAAAACCAATTCAGCAGGGTGCCTATCAGGCTTCCCATAACACTCTTCCCTCTGAGAAGGGCAAACAGGCAGGTAGAGACATGCCCAGACTCCTCCAATTTCAATCTGACCAGAGAAGCAGCTCCTGTGAGTCTCAATCACACCCTCCATTACCCAGCCTCTCCAACACTGTGGCTTTCCAGTTGCATGTTTCATGCCTGGCTAGAGTCATACCTATAATCCTGCAGGACACGCTACAAGTTATTGAAAGAAAAGGGAGCACAGACTTACAACAATTTAAGTTCTGGCTCGACATAAGGTTTGGCAGCTCAGAGGGGTTCAGTGCGCTCACAGGGTTCCAACATTTACCAGGGAACAGATTTAGCATTCATTTGTACCCACTGCTGTGAAGCATTTCAACATGGGCTGCCTGCTCACAAGTCCCTGCTTGGATCTGAACTAGTGGAGCGGCACCTGCAATCACAGCTGGGATTCACCCAGAGAAAGCAAAACCACCAGCCAGCTGCCACTGCAGTAAGAATCAACAGACATTAAGGAAGAGAAAGAATTCAAGTCTCCTTCCTCGTTTCACTAAAGGTGAACTGAGAGCTCCTCAATGACTAGAGGAAGAAGTTCAGCTGTTTAATTTGTTTTAACTACAAAGAATTCCTTCCCAGATTGATCTTCTGCAGAGCTGTTTTCCTGAACTCACAGGCAGGCTGGGGCAGAGGAGCATGAAGAGCTTGAATTCAATCCTGACTCTGTGTAGCCAGGTTCTTACTATCCAGCACACCCGCCAAGGCCAAGCTTTGCACATGGTACAGCTCTTCCTCACACATCTGCTACGAAAAATTCCAGCTCAACCTGCTGTGTGACAGCAGTGCCTTTCTGCATCAGCTACTCTGATATCCCTCTGGTATTCTTCCATCTCTCTAAATCTATCCTGTCCCTGAGGCATACATTTAGGCAACTGGCCTCCTGGGCTACTCAACTGAGTAACACCCAGAATTTCCCTTAGCAAAGCTGACACTTCACCAGCACTTGATCCTGGAGACAACAGGAGACCAGCACTTTTAAGCACAGTCACCCTGCTATGAACAACAGGCCAGTGGTTTTGCCACCATTTGTTCACACACCCGCAGGTAACAGCTGAGCCTTGGCAATGGTTACTTTTTACACTGTGATTGCCTCATCAGCCAGTAGCTTTAGGGAAGGGGAAGGGAACAGTTAAAGTGCTTAGAAAAGATTTGTGATGCACTGTTCTCTACTGAGATCTTCATATCGATCATTGGAGGGGGGGGGATTAAACCCTTGTGTTTGGTATTCATGAAGCATGAGCATCTTCAGTGTATTTGTAAAGCAAGGAAATGGTCAAGTGTCAACTGAAAGACTAAACGCTGAAGTTCCTCACCTTCCTCAGCCTTCCATAGGGTGTGCATTTAGACATTTCCACACTGCCAAGTCCCTCGGTGGGGCTGGCTGCCATTTGTCATATAAATTTCAGAGCACTTTTGGGACACAATTCTCCAGGGACTGAGAGATGTCTGGAGAGATGTCACTTCAGGAACACTGCCTCCTCTGACAGACCCACAGTTCAGCAGTGAACTGGCAAGAGGAGACTGTCAATAGACAAAGGAAGGATTCTGCTGAATAGGCAGAAGGTTCAAGAACTAAAACACTGGCTCCTTCCACTTCTCTTTTAGAAGTTAATGCTTCATCCTCTAAGGCAGATCACAAGCGATCTCCACATTCTTTATTCCTCAATCTCCCAGTGAGAGATCTTGATCTCCCAGTAAATACACAACAGCCATACCAGTGGTCTCTTAAGAATACACATCTCACATTACTCCTTCACTCAGCTCTTCAGAAAGTAAGCTACCTACTCTTATGAGTATTATCACAGAATATTCTGATTGGGAAGGGACCTACAAGGATCATCGAGTTGAACTCGTAAGTGACTGACCCATGCAGGGATTAAACCCACAACCTTGGTGTTACTACCACCATGCTCTAACCAACTGAGCTAATTTCTACCTGGACACCACGATGCCAGAAGCCACGTAGACACACATATAAATGAACCTGCATATTCCTCAGAATGAAAGACCTTTATGTAAGTTTGTATTCATTGCATATTTATTGCATTTATTTCATTCTTTGTGAAGAAGGGAATGATTGCAGGAAAAAAGTGTATCACCCTGATTTAAGAACCTAAAAGTGCCAATAAATCATTTATTTGTACAAGCTGTATTAATCATGTTATTAGACAGTAAAAGTGGGTCCCACTGTCAGAGATACTGTACTAATCCAGAGGGATGCAAAGGGGCTAAGGATCTCAAATGCAAGAGAATAGGGAAAGCATAGAAAAGTGCATCAGCAACAGAGCACATAACAGTGCTGCTACTTACTAAGCGTCATGAAGGACTTCAGTTAGAGATAAACCAGGGATAGAAAAAAATACAGATAAAGAATATTGAAGGAAGAAGTAGAGAGATAGGAAAAAGGAGACAGAAGGGCAGACAGGATCAAGAAAAACAGAGGTGAAAAACTGCAGAATAGAGAAACAGCAAATCGATCCCAGGGCAGTCTGTCCTCTACAAACTGCAAAGCCGCAACTGGTGGAAAGTTTGTGCTTTGGCTGTTCTTGAGGCTGCAACAATTGGCCAATCCTGAAGTGCCTGTTACTGGCCCTTTGCCCCTCAAACACACACTGGAAGGTGAGAAGCAGTAGAACCTCCATGTGGGCCCTGTTATTTTTTTTATTCCCCAAATATGGACAATCCCACTGTGGCTCTCACCTAGGGCTGAGGTGAGAGAAGGAATACCTCCAGGTGAGTTGCATTCTGCTCTCCTCACTGTGTTCACTGCAACAGGGCTTG